AAACACTCAAAGCGGCACTCTCATCCGCCGAGGTGTTACATATTTACGACCCGCTTCTAGCTACGCGCGTCACTACCGATGCGTCGGGCTATGGCTGTCTCTTATACACATCTAGATGTGTATAAGAGACAGCACACACACACAGAGCGAATAGGGACAAAAGTGACTAACCTGAATCCATCCCCTAGTAGCGTGCAGTCCATGTCACCTCGGAGGGGCCTTCACATACAGCTTTGCAACACAACACCCACAAACACCGAGAGAGAGAGAGGGCATCTTCGACAGCGAGTAACTGCACGACAGAGTGTAGGTGAGCAGAGCATAGAGTAGTTTATCGCATACAGCAGTTTGTCGTGTTCAGTACGTCCCGCGGGGCGTTTGTGAAGCAGGTGTACGACCGGCCCTCAACCCAAAGGGCCGTTGCACAAAGTCGGCAGCCTTCGGACCGTTCGACGCAAGTACGGACATAGCGTCGCGCCGCCCTGCAACGGGCTCTCTTTTCAATGGGCGCGACGATCCAGGCCGCCTGCGGTCTTACCAGCCTGACGGTCCAGATCGTCGCACGATCTTAAAGTCCAAAGTCTTAGGATTGTGTGGAAATCCGGACCGTCGGGCCGGTAGCACCACGGGTGGCCTGGATCGCCGCGCCCTCACGTTACCGATTTCTATAAGCGTAGGGATCTCATACACCGGGCTGTTTAAAGCCTGAGGCGTGGCCGATTCCCCTGATTTTTTCCGTCTTATCCTCCTGCTCACTGTCTGCGCCCGCCACTTCTGCCCCCCCCGCCCCCCCACTTCTTCCTCGTTTTCTTCTTCCACTCTCTCCTGCCCCACTCCCTCCCCCTCTTTATCATCACCCTCATCCACCTCCTGTAGGTCCTCTTGATCTGTGTCCACCTTTCCTACACTTTCATCCCTCAGTTCGTCCTCTGCGTTCCCCATAATCTGCTGTTCTTTACCCGTTTGCTTATCCATTTCCTTGTCCTCTCCATTACTCTTTTCCCCTTCGTTGCCATCTTGCTCCTCCTCCTGCTGAGCCGCTACTTCTCCTTCTAGTCTGCTTACATCACTGGGTTCCACCTTGCACGGCCCCCTCGCCCTCATCCTTACACTCCCTCCTCTACTACTTTCCCCTTCTTGCTGACTCACCGATTGCTGGCCATTCCCAGCCCCTTGCTCCTCAGGTCTAGTCTTTCCCGTCTCCTCTCCCTTCCCCTCTTTGTCCTGTTTGGTCTCTGTTCTAGCCCCTCGTCCCCTATCCTACCTTTCTCCTTTGAAACCTGTTGTCGGCCTTCCTCTTCCTCCCTTTTCCGTTGGTCTCTTGCCTTACCCATCCTGCTTTCCTCCATACTTCTATCAATGTTCTCTTCACATTTTCCTCCCTCCTCTGTTTGGTCCGCACCCTTTCCCTGTTTCTGTTCCTCGGCCACCTTCGACTTTCTCCCCTCTACCGGCCTCCGATCGACCTACTCGGCTTTCCTCTTCTTCTCTTCCCCGAAGAGCCATCGTGGCTCATCCGTCTGCATCGGGTCATCCCCTATTCCTTCCCATGAGACGTTCCGCCTGTAGCCCCTCCCACGTCTTGCCTTCCTTCTTCGCCACAGGTCACCTTCCCGCGGACTTACCGTCTCTCCATCCGTGTGAACTGCTGCTCTGATCTCCTCCTGCACCACCAGATCCATTCCGGTTCGAGATGGCTCAAAACAAAGTCAAAAAACTTTTAGCTTCTCTCCTCTTCCGGGTCCAAGTGTGGTATTGGGTCCATGGCGCTCCTAAGCTCTCTATTATACAGCTCATGCACCGTTTCGGCTTGCAATAAGCATCTTCCATGTACCCCGATGTGTCCGTGTGTAAAACAGACTTCGTAAAAAGGGGTCTCACTCGTGACGACCCTGACCTCCTCAAAGCTATATGGGCCCGTGGCAAACGTTTGCTCATTGACGATCGGGGTTCCACCACCCCCCTCATCCACTTAGTCACTAGGGGGGAGGGCTTGAACCCATGGCCAGCGCCATCGTTCAGCCATTTTTACAGCATTCATTTCCACTGGCGACTTCCACGCTTGCAATTGCACCTGACCCTGCACGCCTGCTGCATACAGGTCCTTGACTCGTCTGACGTTTATTAGTGAGTCCCTCACTTCAACTGTGGGTGCAAGGTATGTAACAATCATGTCTCCTTCTGTATCAATCTCCCCCCGCCATGGACCTCTGCCCAACATCCATGCCTCCTCCATGTGCCTAGCCCACTCCCGTTTGGTCTTTCGCAACCAACTATTTCTCTTCTGGTAATCTGCATGTGACTGTATGTGCTCTCACCTGTGTGTTCTGCAGATACATTACTTCATTGGTGGGCCTTGTCATGCACACTCCATTGAGCATCGCATACTATACTAGGCCTGGCCCGTCAATTGGTTGGTGCAGAAAGTATCTGCATGAGGGAGCACCCTTCCATTCCCCCAGTTTCATTTCTAGCACCCGTTGGACAATTTCAGTCGGAATTACTATATCCGTCCTATTGAACCCTCCTTCCCCCTACCCCCCACGTCCCTGCACTGGTTCACTCCGAGTTAACGTTCATATACGACTCTTCTTTCCCTCGCCACTCGTCAACTCTTCACCCTCAGGAGCCCTCCTCTGAAGACTTCCTCGCTCTTGCGAGGTTGACCAGTCCTCAAGTTGTTTCGTGAATCACCACACCTTACACCCTATCGGTTCATCGAGGGGGGCTCTGGAGACAAGCTCCATTCCCCACCCGTGTAGCTCAACTCCCTGACTAACCCCTCCCAGCATTAATTCCCTCCCTTCCCACGCTACATCATAGTACCCCCTTCCCTGTCCTCCCTATCCCCTATCCTCCTCTCCCTTCACCCTACCGATAGCCCGTCGCGACACCCTCTTCTTCGCGCGTCGGATCCCACTCTGCGCTTGTCGAGTAGCTAAGATCTTTGCACCGGGGGCGTTGAGGCACCTGTGGCAAGATGTCTTCCATAGCCAGCCGCCGCCAGCCTTCGCATCTTTCGCTTATGCTCGCCTAGGTCAACACGGCATTAAGTCATCGAGAAAGTAAAAGAACTCGCGCAGCAGACCGCCACTCCATCAAAGTAGACCTCTCGTTTCTGCGCTAAAATTAGCGCAGCTTGCAACTTGCCTGGCCATTTTTTTTTGGGCCACGTGCTTTTCCCGAATTTTTTTTATTTATTTTTTCTGTTTCTACTCTGTGGCCGCATACACTGCATACGGGTGTATGTGAGGCCCCCATACATGTTCAGGGTGCAACACTGATGTGAGGTATGTAATAACAGCATACACATGATCACTATTTGACTGGAAGAGATAGCATACCCCAACGCTGTTGGAAAGTTGAATTATGTTCAACACTTGTGATCTTCTGACTCTTTACGAGATTGAGATGATGACAGTTGCCTCGACATGCCATGCTGCACAAGCACACAAGCGTTTGTGTGGGCGTCAGAGAGAGGTAGCCACTCACAGAGGGTAAACATGCTCGATTCCCTGCCCATTCAGAACTCTTCGTAGTCGGAAGGTGGATCCAATTCCAGAGTTCCGCCTTGCTATGCAGACGCCTCTTATGACCGCAATTCGTCTGTGGTTCTCTGGAATTTCCTGCAGACAAACTGCTAGTCAGATGCAGCACTGCACTCTCCAAAAATCACAGTCATGGTAGCTGAAAACGCTAGACATTCTTGACTTTACATGACAAGGTACAGAAACCCGGGGGGGGAAAGGAGGGTAAAGGGACATAGATCACCCTATTTTAGGTTTGAAACAACAAAACCAAACTTTCAATCCCTCCATGGATAGATTCCAGCAGATTCAGGCCATTATCTGGCATCGTCACTACAGCAACCGTTTTTTTGTTCGTTCAGCCTTATTTGTCATTTTTTTGTACCGGTGAGAGCAGATCACGTTTAGGCCTCAGGCCTGGAGAAGTTTTTGGACCAGCATCCACGACTGCCAATCGATGTGATAGATCAGGCCGTGCTGGGGACAGCTAGACCCAGCGCTATTTATAGCTGGGTCCAGCCTCAGTTCCTTAGGCAGTGTTTAAGAGTTAGGCTAGCGCTATGCTGGTGGAGCATCGTTAGAGGAGGTGAGCGTTAGGTTAGTGCTGCACTCAGGAGTAAATAGCGGAGCACCGACAGAGGGGATGCTGGGAGATAGGTGACTCACCTGCTAGCACCATAGTTCGCCTCCATCGCTGGCCCAGGGGCCATCACCTGCACGGCATCAGCCAGCTCAGGATTTTAACTTTCACAGTCAGTATCTGTTGCATGAGGGAGAGTGAGAGATGAGAGAGGTTCTTTCTTCTTCTGCATTCTCCTGCTCCGCCCTCCATATCCACCTTCCTCATCTATGAGAGGGAGAGAGATCTCGGACTTGGAGACTATCTTGTGGGCTGATGTGCAGACTTGGACATGATATGGATACTGAGACTTGAGGGGAGACTAGAACTCCTAAATGTGGGAAAACCTGCAGGCCCTGGTACCAGAGGCGGACAAGCTTATTATAGCAGGGGACTCCGCAAATGGGAGGCACGTCGACACGGACTCAACGGCGTTGATCAGCAGGATAACAGGGCTGGCTCAACAGCGGCCCGGTCGAAGATCAAACAGACGGAGAGTGATGGGCTGAGAGGATTGAAGCAGCCCGAGCCTGGAGGGAGTGGCAAGGAGAGGAGGTGGTCAAATGGGGTAGGCGCACGAAGGAGGCGTGGATGGTGGGGGGGGAACGTACGTCACCAAAATTCTTTGCCACTGTCGTCACACACAAAGGCGCGCCAATGACGACAGCCATGGACCACCCTTTTGACGAAAGCCAGGCAAGACAGCACACCACTCGAGGGATCCTGAAGTATGTTACAGACTTCTATCACGAGCTGCTTAACCGAAGAGGAAGAATGGATGGCTGAAGATATGGCAACGTGCCGGAACAGGAAATGTGGAAGCACGTCCGTAAGCGTTTGGATTTGAAACGGTTTTGTAGGCTGGAGGCTGACATTGAGACAGTAGAAGTGGAGGAGGCAATAGCATCCCTCCCCCGGCTCAAAGCACCTGGGATGGATGGGATGCCGGTGGAAACGTACAAAGATTTTCAGAACTTCTTCACGATCCTCCTGACGGCGGCATATAACGAAGCTCTTAAGGATGGCTCATTCCCGCAGAGTTCTGCAGATGCCTACGTGGTGCTACTGTACAAGAAGGGGGCGAAGGAGGATGTTTTGGTGCCCCATGTCTATCCTCAATGCGCCATACAAGATCTTGGCCAAGGTGATGGCAACTCGCCTGAAGGAAGTGCTGCCACGGATTATAGACTGCACTCAGACGGGTTTTGTACCGGGACGCCAAATCTTGTCGAATGTCATCTTGGTGCAGCAAATACTTGAGGAGGATCGATGCACAGGTGTCAAGGCATTCATCTCCATCGACCTGGAAAAGGCATACGATCGGGTCAGATGGGAGTGCCTCCTGCAGGGGATGGCAAGGAGGGGGATAGGGGGATTTTTTTGTCACTGGGTAAGAAGTTTGTTGAAGGGAGCCACAACGGTGATGCAAGTCAACAGGGTCAGGTCAGACAAGCTGAAGGTGACCAGATTTGTGCGGCAAGGATGCCCGCTGTCCCCGACCCTATACGTCATCTACATAGAGGCCATGCACGATATCTTGAGAGCAGACGAATGGCTGCTCGCTATGAAGGCCGGCCCGTCTGAAGAACTGCAGACCACAGCCTTTGCGGACGACTCTGGAGCAGTTATCACCCCGACAGCTCATCAACTGGGGATCCTCAAGGAGGACCTCGACATTTTCTGCAAGTACTCAGGAGCACGGATCAACTGGAGGAAGTCAAAGGCAGTCCTCCCCCCGGAGACCGGATGGATGGGACATCCCTACAGTGGATGAAGGAGAGAGGATGTCCTTCCTGGGGACCAACTTGACACCAAGCTTTGGGGGAATTGAACAGATGGCGATTAGAGCCACAGCGGCGGTAACCAGACTCAAGGCGTGGAGTGCGAGGGGCAGTATGGGGGTATTTGGGAAGGCCCTCGTTATCAAGAATTATGTCCTCATGACCCTGTGGTACGCGGGCGCAGTGCATAATATGCCTGGTAAACGCACCTTCAGATATATAAAGAGGGCAATACATGCACACCTATGGTCGAACGATGCGGAAGCACCGAACTCCATTTGTAGAGTCGCTTGGACCAAGCTCATCCAGCCAAGAAGGTTTGGTGGACTGGGCTTACTGGACCCAAGGCAGCAGATTATTGCCCTGCAGTTACGCCAGTCGCTTTGGTACTTGCTGGGCACGGTAGGGGGCGTCTGGGAGGAAGTTGCTCAAACCCACTTGGCTTATGCACTCCAAGTGCCGAGAGAGACAGTCAACCTCTGCTTGGTCAGCAACACAGCAATAGGCCACATTCGCAGAGGCACGGTGTAGGCAACAAAATTGGCACTGTGGAAGAAGATAAGATTAGGATGCTGCCTACCGGCAACCGCCAATGCTGTCTACAATCAGCTGCTGTTTGAGAACAGATTCATCTGCGACGAGACCGGCGATCCTTACCCCTGGCTGGGCCCACGAGGGGCATTTGGATGGAAGTGGGCCGAGCAAGGAATCTATAAGGTGGGTCATCTATGGGACGAACGGCCAAAGGACTGGCGCTCTGATAACGGCATGGTGGAAGCTCTGCAGGGGCAGAAGAGACGAAGGCGAAAACTGCAACATCTGAGAGAAGCCATCCCTCCCCAGTGGGTGGAGCTTCTCAGGAAGGATGAAGTAACAACGGGAGAGTGGTTGAAAGCGTGGGGACTGTGGATCGGCAGCTTCGCCCGCGCCCCGGCTCGTCTTCATAAGGAGGGGGGCGTGTTACATGCTGAAAGCCTACACACGGGCCCCTCACGGGACCCGAGGTTCGAATAGGGCCCCCAGGTCGCGTCACCGCAACCTGAAGGCCCTATGGCATTTTTACTTGGGCCTGCATCAGAAAAACGCCAGCTTTAGATTATTTTTATATTCTTTTATTTATTTAATTGCTGCTGTTTTTCTAACGTCTGTACTGTTGTCCGTTTTGTGGCCAGGTGCACGTTTTAGGGCCAGGGCCAGATTCAGGCCCAGAGGTTGTACCTCTAAAAACGTTTGGACCTTTTTTTGTTTTCGGACAGATTTCGGACCGTTCGGACCTGGACCGACGTTC